CTGCTTTGACTAAGTCTCAAGACGGTGGTGGTCCCAAACCCACAGGGACCTGGTAACAGACGAGGCTGCAGGCTGCCTCCTACTCAGCTAGGGCAGCTGCCAGGATCTTGCGGGTCTCAGGGCCAGAGCAGAGAACAGAATGTGTCAATTAGAAGAGTTGTTTGTTTTCAAACTGATGATTAGATCTCAGACCTTCTGCGCCATCAAGAATGGCAGAAGCCTCCATTCCTGAGGCCAGGGGAGGGTCCAGGGCAGAATTCAAGGTGGTCTGGGGAAGGCGGGGGCCGGTGGGAATCGCCGCTTCATCCCTGGCTTCAGAGCATTCCCCATGAACCCCCCTCGCTCTGTGATACTGTCCCCTTGACTTCTGCTCTTTTATCTCCAAAGATGAAGAGGAGGATGTGGCCCAGGGCAAGGGGAGAGAGACCCTGGGGGCTTCATTAAGTACAATAAATGTTACACAGGACAGCTACCCAGCAAAGTCCTTCTCACCAGGCTCCTGAGCCTGAGGTGTTCAGAGCTGTCCCTGGCAGTAGTGGGAGTTGGGTGGGGGCAGAGATAGGCATAGAGAGCCCTGAGTGCGTCACTTTGTAAAGAATTCTGAAAGACCCAAGAAGGCACATCATCATTCCTTCACCAGGAGAGCCCTTCCCAGTGGGCTTTCCTCTCCTGGTTTAACCACCATAGAAACAGGAATGTCATCACAGTCTCCCGACACCTGGGATTGCCTTACACACGTTTCTTGCCACTGTATGTTCACACGCTGCTCTCCTCTGTTTTGCTCTACAAGTTGAGATAGTAGGGGGGATCTAAATATTGCTGTGGGCAGTAGTGCTAGAGTGGTGGCTGTGGTCGGCCCTTGCAAAGCCACCAAACCTGAGTGCGCATGGAGCCCTGGGCCTGCCTTGCCTCTCTTGGTCCTCTGTGGTCCTGTGGGGCAAGCAGAACAGGCGGGGGGAGGGAGGGGGTAGAGCTGAGGCTGGCCACTGTCATGGCGTTTTCTCATGGTGTCTCCAGGTCCTGTGGGCTGAGACCGAGCCTGCTGTGCTTCCATTTCCCTTTGCAAGTATATTGAATCCCTGAAGTTGGGGCCACTCTGCAGCAACACCAGAGCAGGATTCCTGGCTGAGAGCCTGCACCAGGCCCAGCTCCAGGGTTTGGCAGGGTCTTAAGGTCAAAAGTTGTCTCTGGCTTTGGGAAGGTAAGTTGCTGGTAGGTGGGAAGAGCCTGGCTCTGCCACTGATTACTCCTCTGAGGCCTCAGTTTCCTCATCTCTACCATGCGACATTGTAGCCCCCGGTGACCTTGCCAGCTCTGACACACAAGGTGTCTATGGAATCAATAAATCCCAGTGTCTGTGTGAAGATGCAAAGTGTTCCAAGCAGCACTTTCTAGCCATGGGTAGGAAGGGGCTCAGCCATTTCTAGCCCATGACTTCTTGTCCCACCCCCACCAAAACCTCTGTCCATGGAAAAATTGTCTTCCATGAAACTGGTCCCTGGTGCCAAAAAGGTTGGGGGCTGCCAATCTACAACACCCAGTTTCCTGGATTTCTGACAAATCTAAGAAAAACTGGCCATAATAAACCAGCCCAGAGAGGGGAAGGGACCTGCCTGGGCACACACAGCAAGATTCCAAGGTGTCCCTAGGACTCCAACTCAATAGCACTTGGCCAGAGTCCCATGCTGCCTTGCTGTGGATCCCACAGAGCCTGCAGAGATCCTAAAGAAACCCCAAAGGAAACCTGGATCCACCCCCTGTATCTGGGGGTGTTGGTAAACCCCAAGGGCCCTGGGTTCTCATGGGGAGAACTCTGATTGGGGGATGTCTTTGCTGACACGGCAGCTAGAGGAGAGCATTTTAATCTCAGTTAACTGCTGATCAAAAGTGACTAGAAGGGTAGCAGATGAGGATGGGATAAGGCAGACAGGGCCAGTTTGTGAGTTGTTTGTGGCGCTTATGGGCTGAGGACAGATATGAGGCAAACTCTTAAAACTATGGCATTTCATGGGCCACCTTACATTCTACAGAGTTCTAACAGGTAGCAGCTGCAAGCCTCTTGCTGCTATACAGTTCTATAGCTCTGAAGTCGTCTGAGATGGGTGGGAGGTGTCCAGGAGGGAACTCATTCACCACATTCAGCATTGTAGGATGCCAGGACCCTGGCCAGGAATGCACTGAGAATATTTGAGTCCTTAGAATATTGATGTACATACGTCCATACCAGTTGGCTAATTGGTCATAGCACTGGTCAGAGCCCTTCCCCACAAAGTGCTATATGCCCAGCCACGGCTGCCTTAGGTCCTGTCCCCTCCTCCCTACAATCTGGCAGCTAACAGGTTAATGCCTAGCCGGGGGCCTGCTCCAAGAGGTCAGTTCTGACTGGTGAGTGCTCAGGTTGTGCTGTTTGTTAACTGTTTTGATCATCACTCCTGTTGAGAAGACTTAACCATTTCCCTCTGCAGAAGAGTCTGTCCCCTACAGACCCTAGGAGGGCAGCACAGAACACCCACAGCCCTGAGGACTCTGGGCGTCACAGAATACCCACAGCCCTGTGCTCCAGCAGAGGCTTCATCTCATGGGAAGGAGCACACTTGACCCAGGGGTGGGAATGCCTGGCTGCCTCTGAACTTTACTTTGAACCAACACAATTCATCTTTTGGTTAGGAGAGTATTGGCTGCTGTTACCGTGGCTGTGGTTTTGTCTTTTTTTCCCTAAATATCAAAGCTTTCCTAGATATGTATGTTACCCCAGCTCACTTCCACGTGGGGAAATCACGGTGCCATGGGCTTCTCTTGGGTCCTGTCTCAGTAAAGGTTTCTGCCTCCTGACTTTAGAATGAGCAGATCTGCAGGTGCCCCCGGGAAGGTTTAGTGGAGTGGGACAGTGGATGGGGACAGGCCGGTCTCAGCAGGGGACCCATGTGGGACAGCTTAGGCCATACCACAAGAGAATGTTTCTAGAGCTTGGCTTCTTCTCTAGGTAGTGGGGTTGGCTGGATGGTTCAGGTACCCTGTCCCCATGGACTGCATAGCCCATAAATATTAAAATATCAGTGTGGCAGGAGCCATAGTACCATCAGAGGTCACTTGGTTGGCACAGCTTTCGAGCAGCCACATTGTACAGTGTGCCGGGCACTCCCTTTGGCCTCATAACAACCTACACAGCAGGTCTACTTATTACCAAGCACATATTTCAGACGAGGAAAATTTTAGCACAGGGAGGTTAAGTAACTTGCCAAAGACACACAGCTGGTAGGTAGCAGAGTAAGGATGTGAGTTTTGAGCCTCCTGCTATACAGTTCTGTAGCTCTGAGGTCTTTCGAGGCCAATGGTCACAAACTACCAGAAACCTACTGGCTTCCCCATGAGTGGGCTGCCCCTCCATTAGACAGCCTTCTCCAGGCAGATCTGGGAGGAAAATCAGGTGGAATAGGAAGCGCCCTTGGCAACCGTTAATCCTGGATCCTATGTTAGTTAGAAAGGATAAGAGGCCATGTCCAGACCCTGAAGGAGGGAGCCTACAACCAGTGGATGCTTGCTTGGGGTGCAGAAGGAGCAGATGCATCTGTTCGCTGTCCTAATCTAGTCCCCAATTTTACAGATGAGGAGACTGAGGCTCAGAGGAGAGATTAACTTGTCCAACATCACGCTTCTGATTAGAGTGCCATTGTCTCCCAGCCAGTGCTGGCCCCTGCACAGCCTTTAGTTGTGGGAACTGTGTTTTGATAAAATGAGCAGCCTGGCAACTGGCAGGCCACCCTTTGTCAGCCGTGCAGCCACAGCCACAGCTGCAGCGCAAACCCAGTCTGGTGTGCAGATGGAGGCCCTTCGATGGCTTTGCTAGTTGGACACTACCAGGACAAAACTCAGGGCCACTCCCAGAAAGCTGTGCCCACCTCTGCATTGTCATAAGCAGAAGCCTCATCATCCCATTGACAGGCTCCTGGTGTGTGCCAGGCCTGCCCCAGGAGAGTGCCATCCTTGGGTAATCAGGCATCTGAATTAGCTAGAGATTATTGCTTTGTGGTTTTTTAAAACATGTTTTTATTTGTTTATTTAGTTTTGTCTGTGGACATAGAACCGAAGAGTGAAAGAGGAACAATTTGGTCAAACCCTCAGTTTTTGTCCACAGAGACTGAGCTCCAGTTTGGCCTGATTTTTACTTCTGGCCACAGGTGGCATGACCACCTTGATACAGAGTCTGCTCAGAGGCTGAAAGCAGGGCAGAAGGCAGCCCGTTCTCAGCCCACTATCCTGCACGTGGGATGAGGAGACCTGGAGATGAGGGGTCAAGCCCACATCACCCCACAGAGCCCAGAGCCAGACTGCAGCCTGACTGGCTCTAGCTCCTAGTGTCCTGAGAGGTCTGGGTGCCCAGAGTGTCCTTCTCTGGTGGCTTTCCCTCTTCTCTCCCCACCCTGCCGTCCTAGGAACTGAGGCTATGGCCCCAGTGCTCCTTCCCAGACATCTCAGAGGTTTTGGGCCACCCTGGCCTCCCCCAAACCAGCCACCACCATAAGCAGCCCTCAGCCTATGCTACCTTAGGCCTAGGGACCACTCAATTTCATGACACTCAAGATGTGGAAACTGCAAAAGAAATGTCTTTATTCATTTAACCTTCTTAATATTTACAAAGAACAAAAAGAACAACTGAGATTGGCTCACACGGTGGGTGGCAGATAAACAGATGTGTAACTGGCTTTCTGGGGGTGGCTGGCGGGCAAGGGCCCCATCCCACTGCTCATGGTCTGTGCAGGGATAGCAGGAGAGCTGTTGGGCTCTGGCCTGGCTGGAGGGGGCCAGCCGAGCCCCACAGCTCCCTAGGCTGCACGGGTGAGAAGCCTCAGCCCCAATCCTGCCCTCCTCCCCCCACAAGAAGGGAAGGGGCATTAGGAATGCCAGGACACACCACTGCCCAGCCCCTCCTCAGAGGAGAGCACCTGGAGCCCCGAACACTCCTGTGAGCTGGAGGTGGGGCCGAGGCCCTGCCGGCCCTGCTAGAGGTAGCCAAAGACATTGAAGATGGGTGGGGCCATGGCCGGCTTGGTGGGGATGGGCTTCAGCACCACTGGCCGGTACACCTGCCCCAGGCCATCCACTTCCTTGCAGAAGTGCGCCAGCTCCCCAGGGAAGGCTGGGCTTTTCCTCCATAGGCCCAGGCTGGGGATGGGGCTTTGAGGCAGGGTCCCCGACAGGCCTGGGTAGATGGGCTGTCCATGGTACTGCAAGGGGCAGCAGCTCCAGGCACTGCTGCGGCCCACCAGGGAAACCCCAGGCATCTTGAGTGGCTCCTTTTCAGCTAGTGCCCTTGGGGACATGGGCACTGGGGCAGCCTCAGGCCCCAAGGACTCCAAACCCTTACAATTTTTCTTACCCTCATAGGGAGGTCCCTCCCTGGGGCCCAGTCCCCCCTCCAGCCCCATGGAATAGCTGTGGGTGGGCCTTGGCTCTTCCCAGAAGGAAGCGGGCAGCTGTCTTTTCCTCATGGGCACCTGACCAGGCCTGGCAGCTTCTGGACTCTGCCCCTGTAGGACCTGCTCCTTAGAAAGACATTCCTCGCTGTAGGGATTCCCCAAGGCCTTCTCCTTGTAGCCCCCACCCCCACCGGGGCTGGACTCAGGGCCTGGATCGAGGAGCAGCCTCCCGGGCCGGTCCTCAGGCCCTCGCTTCAGGTGGGGCTCGGCCGCTCTGCCAGGAAGGCCCCTCGGGAGCCGGGAATACTTCTGGGAGAAGCGCTTGAGCTGCTTCTGCAGGTACTTGCGGTGGTCCACGGAGCGGCGGCAGGGTGCAGACTTGTCTAGGGCTGCCTTGATGTCACTGGATGCCAGGTTCACAAAGTTCAGCAGCATCTTCACATCACTGTCGGATGCCATCACCAGGGGGCCACTGCACGGGGCTTTCCATGAAGAGGGTGGGTTCTGCTGGTGGTCGGCAACTCCACGGAAGGGCACTGAGCTGACCTGGGAGATGCAACAAGCCATTGGAATTTCTCCAGGAAAGCATACCCAGCCCTCCCCAAAGGCCACACCACCTGGCTGCAAACTGTCCCCAACACCAGCACCACCCCTCAACCCTAGACAGAACCCTAGGTAGTGGGACACTTGTCCAAGTTGCTAAGCATTTCCTAAGTATCTGTGATGGGACAGGTGCTAATAGAGCCTCATCCAGCTTCCTTGGGTCTGGTGCCCTCTTCTTGCAGCTGAGATGCAGAGAGGTCATGCAACTTGCACAAGGCGACCTGGCTACAAGTGGCATTGCTGGGGCTGAAGCACAAGCCCCTGCGCTCCCAGCCTGCCATGTGTCCTACACACCACACTGCCAATGTGCACGACTTGCCATCGAGGTTTTTATTTTCTGAACGGAGGCAACTGCTCCACTTTACAGCAAGGCCAAGCCCCCTTCCTCCCTGGTGGTGGCCTCCCCCTCCCACCACCCCCGCCCCCAGCCTCAGGAGCCTCAGCCCCCCTCCTCAGTCCCCACGCTCCACCCCCAGCTCTCACGCAGGACCAGGCAGGACCCCTGTCTGGCACTTAATCGAGACCTGCCTCGCGGGCTGGTCTCAGGCTGCGGGCAGCAGGGATTCCCCTGAAGAAGCATCTGCAGCAATTTCATGCCTCCTCAGCCACCACCCACAGCACCTCGCCCCTCCCCCAGACCCCTGCCCGCCCTACACCCCCGACCCAGTCGGGCCAGAGCCGCTGGGCCTCGGCACTGACCGAAGGTGCAGGCCCCAGGCCCTGCCAACGTGGCCCGGCAGGTTCCCCACTGCAGACCTGGGACAGGCCCGGCGCGGCGGGCCGCGCTCCGTCCGGCTGGAAGCAGTTGTGCAGCCCTTGAGTGGGCTGAATGGAGGACAACTCCCCGGAGCTGGGGGGCCCCTCAGGCCAATCAGGAGCGCCTCTCCAGATACAAAGCATCCCAATCAGGCGGCGGCGCCCCGTTCCCACATTCTTTGCCGTCACAAATTGTCACCATGGGGACCATCACAAAAAAGACAGCTCCCAAATGCAATCATTTCCCGGTAAATTTCTACCCTTCAGTCCCACTCCCCTCAGCCTCCACGCCCCTCCTCCCCTTGACCTCGGTTCCCTGGTTTCTCAAGGGGGTGGGGAGTGGTGTGCCTACGTGTGCATGTGTGTGTGTGTGTGTTTAAAACATCCCTGGTTGAGGAGGGGCTGGGCCCGGCAGAGACGGGCTCCCAAACCTCCCCAAAGACTCCAGGCCTACAGCTGCCATGCTCCAGTGCAGACAGACAATCGGACGGGGTAAGCTGGGGCGGGCTGCTTTTCCCGCTGTCCTTGAGTGTTGAGTGGCTCTCTCTCTTTCTGTCTCTCTCCTTCTCTTTCTCTCTCCTCACCACCCTCCCAGCCACCCCAGCATCCCCCAGGGATTGGGCACAGAGGGCCTGCCAGGTCGGGAGGTCCACTGATGTCTGTCGGGAAAGGTAGCCGAGCAGGGACTCTAACGAGGTGCTGGGATATCCATGGGAAGGGAGCCGGAGCCCTCAGGAATCTTGTCTTTATGTTTGCTTCCTCAATTGAGCTGCACAAAGCCTGAATTGCCCATTCAGCGCGGCCGGACAAAAGGTTGGCGTTGCACGGTCCCCTTGCATTTGTAGTCAAACAGTTAGGGACTTAAATCGAGTCGTCATGATGGAGAAAGAGGTGGACAAAGCCCATAGAATTGCCATCAGCAAACATTTTCCTGTGTCATATTAGCCAGTCTCCATGGCTCCCCCTGGCCTGGGGACAATGGCACAAGTTTGCACACTTGGCTACTGTCACCGTGCCAACGCCGGCAGGGCTGCAAGCAGGGCGGCTCTGAGTGAGCAAGGAGCCGGGAGCCGGTGGGTAGCCCTGCCCACCACTGGCCAGAGGGAAGGTGAGGCTGAAGGCAAGGGAGGCTGCCTGGGAAATGCTAATGGCTGTGTCTCCTTGCCAGCCAGTTTGTGGCCCATTCACGCCTCCTTGATTTTCTGCCCAGACCTGGCCTCCTCTTCTGCCCTCCTCTCCCTCCCCTTCCTTTCCTGTTCCCCTTTCTTCTGCTGCCTTTTCCTCTGTCCCTCATCAGCCAAATGGTTGGTGGTCTGTGCACCAGCCCACACCTCTGTACCACCTCCTGAAATGCCAAGGGCTCCCTTCCCAAGTCTGCCCACCCAGGATGGGAGCACAGGCAGGGCCAGGGCCCTCACAGGAGTAATGATCTCACTCATCCTACTGGCCAGCAGGTAGCTGCTATCAGGACAAGGCACCTTCCCACAGTGGCCTGAGGGTTCCTACAGGCACAATGAAGAGTTTGGAGGAGGTGGCCCTGTGCTGACAAGCTGTGATTCCGTTTAGGCCTTGAAGAGCCCATACTCTTTTCCCTGATGCAGGGGTAAGGGAAGCATAGAGTCAGATGGTTGTACCATTGCCCTGGAGCACCTGGGTTTTTGAGTACCAGTGCTCTGGAGCGTTGCCCCTGTCTACAGCAGCCTTTATAAGGGTCAGAGTAAAACTATCATTGTTTTAAATGCTGGAGATTGGAGGGTTCTGTGTTTCTGTAGCACATCCCAACACACCCAGAGTGGCACAGGCAGGAAGCATCCTTTTTGTTCTAAACCACTCAGTGCACACTGCTGGAGCGATGGCCTAGTGGCTCACAGTCACCAGGGTAGGCTCCTGTCCATCTCCCCACATGGCTCCCTGCTGCCTACTGTGTGGCCCTGGGGGGCACAGCCTGGTGTTCAAATCCCTCCAGCACCCAGCACCTGCTCTCTTAACTGCCTGCTCACTCCCTCCTTAGCCTTCCATCTGCATCTGTGGCATCTGTACTGCCTGTGGCATGCTGGTCCCTCTCTCTGCAACATCTCTCTTCTAAGGGCATTGAGCCACTCAGCACACATCTCAGCTTTCCCAAGATTCCATGGCGCCTGCAGTTGTGTCAGCACACTCTGGGACTGCTGCTCAGAGTGGCCCCTCGTTTCTTAGCTACTAATGTAAGGTGACCAGACGTCCCGCTTTTGGGACAGTCCTGATTTTTAACAATTTGTCCCATGTCCCATGGCGTTTTAAAAAAGTCCCGATTTTTGGAAAGAATGCATGACAAGCTAGGGAACAGAGGGACAACGGGAAGGGAATATATGGTTTTCGGCTGCTGAAAAGGTTAATGTAACTCCATTTGGGAATGAAGAGGTTAATGTAACTTCATTTGGAAATGAAAAAGCTAATGTAAACTCCCTACTCCCCTCCTTGGCAAGGTTGCCCAGGTGGACCAGTGCCCTACTCCTTTGAGCCACAGGCTCTGCCCTATACATAATTTTTTTTAATGTATTATATTTGTAAATTGTACTTATGTTGAAATTAAAAATATATATATTACAATACTATTTTTGTTTTTGTTGCTCCACGTAGACCAAATTTTTAATTAAGAATCCCCCCCACCCCACCACCCCCGTCAATGGTGTCCCGCTTTACCAATGTTAAAATCTGGTCACCTCATACTAATGTGCCTCCCCGACAGGTCAGTCGGCTACATGGGGGTCGAGTTTATGGCTTAAAAATGTCTTGCCATAGCTCTTAACATGGGCTGTTCTTTTGCCAAACACTTTTTGAGGAAAGAAGGGAAGAAAATAGTGAAGAGAAGAAGAAAGGGGAGAGAAAAATAGAATGGAGAAAGCTGATACTTGTTAGGCACCTTCTATGTGCCGAGAGCCATGTGATCTCACTCAGAAGACCTGACCTTACCCTCAGGTGGTGAGGGTGGTGTTATTGTTGCCATTTGTAAATGAGAAAAAGTGAGGTGACTTTCTCAAGGCCACATAGCCAATAACTAGCAGGACTTGAACTTGAACCCAGACCTACCAGTATAGGAAGACTTGAACTCCCACTGAGTGCCAGATGCTGCTCTGTGTCTTCAGCTTTGAAGGCCTCAAAGACTAGATTCTCTACACAAGTCCTGGGTTCTGCTTTTCTCTCACAAGGTCAGAGCGTGACTGTCAACTTCTGACTTAAGAATGTGGGAGCTACAGCTTTGAACACTCAGGAGAGAGGATCCTACTGGCCTGAGGCACAGTGGTCTGAGAACCTGATCAAGCCTCACTGATGGGCCACATTCCAGGTGTCAGGTCAAGTGTCTGGGACTGCCCCTGACCCATGGGGGAGTGTAAAGACAGCAGTAACAGTGATTTAGCCTCTCTAGAGAACGCTTTCCCAGTGGTTTTCTCAGTGTGGTCCTATGTCTGAGTGAGGAAGGAATGATTTTCTCTATTTACAGTTGGCGACACACACTTAGACACCTCAAGCCTCGGATTCCTGGGCCTGACTCAGCCATCCTGTCCTCTTGGCATTCTCCAAGACCCAGCTCAAACATCCCCTCCTCCAAGAAGCCTTCCACCAGCTCCCAGCATTATTAATGATACCCTCTCCCATCCCTGTGTTTGTAGAGTCAAAGATGAAGTCTAACCTCCCTAGCTAAACAAAGAAGGCCCTTTACACTCTGACCCACTACCAGAGTAGCTTCTGACCAAATGTTCTATGTATTAAATACTGTGCCCATTCCACTGAACTGTGGACTAGAAACAGCTGCTTCCTGGCTTGGGCTTTTTGTCTGCTGTTTACCCCCAAACCCCAGGCAGGTGAGCTCCAGGAGAGAAGGGGGCTTGTCTACAGGTTCCTCTCTGTATCTCCAGTGACCAGAGTAGGCCCAGCCAGAGCAGGCCTCAGCAAAGGACCCTGTGGTGCTATGGTTGTACTTGATGACAAATTGCCTGTGACCTTACAGGACTATAGCACTTGAAAGCCAGATGTGCTTTTACACAAGTGAATTGCCCTGCACCGGAGCAGAGGTTCCATAAAGCTGTATGAGAGGCAGGTGAGCTGTGCTGACTCCAACTGAGCAGAATTCAGACAGGCTGAGGTGGCCCACCGCTCCTTCCCTCTGGCTATTGCTACCACAGATCTCCACGAGTCCAGCTGTGCTAACCCTGCCTCAAGTTCATTCACCATCCAGCCTCAGGGTCTCACTGCTTCACACCAACACCATCTAACACCTATGTGCCAGGGATCAGAGGATGTGGAGGTGGCGTCCCCTGCTTTGTCTTGACGACTGAACAACCATCTTGTACCCTGGTATCAGTGAAGCTGAACGACATCCTAAAAAACTCCCATCCAAAACTTCTGGGTGCCAACAGACAAGATCCACTTGCAGGACTTCGCTACACAGGTGTGGATTGGGAACCGCAAGCGAGCAGAGGCTGTTGGCAGAGGCACTCACACGCCAAGCCCAAGGGGACCCGAGGTGACAATGGGCTCTCAAATTGCTTTTAAGCCAAGAAGCCCGGGTAAAAATATGTGGAGATCCAACATGGAAAACTGTGACAATATAGTGTCCCTGAGTACAAATTTATTTTACACACGCAAAGGCAAGCTTTCTACTTATTTTGCAAACAATAGATTAAGACAAGGACTCAGTTTTGATGACATAAAATGTGGAAATCAGAAAGTAATGGATCACAGTTTCCCATCAGCCATATTTGTTCTGGTTTTAGAACTTTTAAAAAAAGAATCTTGTCTTCTAGACATAAGTAGCTGAAATGGTAATTTTTATAAAAGCTTATCTTAGGACCGTTCTTAGGAATTTTTATAAAAGCTTATCTTAAGACCGTATCTTAGGAACGATCTTAGGACCGTTATCAATGAAAGGGCGTCTCTGAGGAAGCTTTATTATCTGGTCTTCTGAGAGGAGTTTGTCTGACTACCCGAGGTAACCAACTGGCAGCCTAGTGTATCAGCTTGTGAGTTAAAATGCATTTGAATGTGCGTTTGTTTGTTGATGTGGTTTTTACAACTGTGTCAGAAATAAATTTTAAAGGAAATTTAACTTGCTCTCGCCTCTACAGAAATTTCAGTTCCAAAAGATGGGCTAACTTCTCAT